CACGAGCTACGAACCCTAAGTCAAAAGGTTTCGCTAAAAGACAGCAAGGAGGCAAAGAAAATGAACCTCCCAGAAATCAAACGAGCTTTCTAAATCCGATAGCATGCGTGGAACTAATTTCAGTCTATTTTAGTTTTAGATGTAATTACTCATGTGTAATATTTCTAATGAAAATAAATGTTTTTTTGAAACAATTTTATGTGTTGACCAAATTCTTGATAACATCCTTCCTTCCAAATTCTTTTAAGAACAAACGCCAAGCGTAGATATATCGTTTTATGAATTATAATTTAGTGACTATTGTATCCAACACAATACAATTCATGACTCATAAACCACAAAGAATAAGACTTACGAAGTTGTACCTAATTATTCAAATACGAAGGAAAACGTTGGAGTGTAAAATCTTTATTTATAAACTAACATAAAAATACAATGCTCATTCTTCATCGCTACTTAAATTAAAAGTTTTTTTGCTTGTTACTTCTGGGTGATTGGTGATGTAAAAACTTACAAGCATGGCAACGTGTAAGTACGCTTTTGAGCGTTTTCCTATTGACTGCAAATGGATGTTCACAAATACTACAGAGTGTTGAACTAGGAAAATTTACTAGCTTTTCGTGCCAAAGTCGCTTTGGACATTTCACTATTCTGTTCACTTTGACATCCTTATTTCCACAGTAAACACAGGGATCTTCTTCTGTCTCACTTCCCTCATTCACTTCGTCCACCTCTCCCTGGTCTTGTTCAGTGTCATTAGTCTCAGAATTTCGGTCCTCCTCGCTACTTGATTCTTCACTATCAGATTCATCGGATTGCTCTTTATTATCCTCAAGTTCTTCTTTTTCCATTAAATCACTTAAGACTTTTTTGTTTCGAATCCATTTCTTATTAATCCCCAATTCTGCCAATCCTTCCAGGAACGAATTGAGGGCTCTAGGTTTGAGGATATCAAGATTGTAGGGCAACAATACATAATCTAAGAGCTCTGTAATACTGGTGACAGGTATGCGCCGCTGGTTTCGTAAAAGCTCACCGCCTGGTGTCCAGAACACAATATTTTTGGAAGCCGCCATGCTATGCAAAAGATCCTTGGCATCTGACGCTGAAACACCGTCCGAAAGATCTTGCAAAACATTCTGAATAAGCGGTTCTTCTTCACTAAGCTATCGATAGCCAAGAAGCTAAGCTATCGATAGCCAAGAAGCTAAGCTATCGATAGCCTGATAGCTAAGCTATCGATAGCCTGATAGCTAAGCTATCGATAGCCTGATAGCTAAGCTATCGATAGCCTGATAGCTAAGCTATCGATAGACTGATAGCTAAGCTATCGATAGCCTGATTGCTAAGCTATCGATAGCCTGATAGCTAAGCTATCGATAGCCTGATAGCTAGGCTATCGATAGCCTGATAGCTAGGCTATCGATAGCCTGATAGCTAGGCTATCGATAGCCTGATAGCTAGGCTATCGATAGCCTGATAGCTAAGCTATCGATAGCCTGATAGCTAAGCTATCGATAGCCTGATAGCTAAGCTATATAGATAGCCAAGAAGCTAAGCTATTGATAGTCTGATGCACGTGGTCTGAATGTGTATAAGAAGGACTGCAATCTCTAAGTTCACTCATAACTGAGAAGACTCGAGATGACTCGCATGTGTTTATTGTGCCAGAAATCGGTTCAAAACCTATCGTCTCATTTGAGTCGGGTCCACAAAATAAATGGTCCAGAACGCACATATTGGTTTCAGCAAGGAAAGGTGATCAAAAATGACCTGGGTCATCTTTGCAAACCCACCACCTCACAGACGGAAAATGGTCCAACAGATGTTTGTAGTAAATTCCAGTTGCTGCATCCATTTACTTGTATGGTGGGAGGAACTACAGGATGTGGAAAAACCTTTTGGGTACAGCAGTTATTGGAGCATACCAAAGTGATGATCAACCCTCCACCTCAGCGTATTGTATACTGTTATTCTCAATGGCAACCGGCCTATTTAGAAATGTTAAGAACCGTGCCTGGCATTGAATTTATCAGAGGTATTCCGCAGGATCTGGATCAAGATCATTTTTTTGATGTAAATGTACGAAATCTTATAGTGATCGATGACCAGATGACCGAAACTGGGAATGATAAGCGAGTTTTAAACTTGTTCACTAAAGGATCGCATCATCGCAACCTG